ACAGCGCTCCACTGTATCTGCGGCGTCGGCAAGCTGCAGCGTCCATTGTTTCGTTTCTCGAGCCTCTCACTCATGCTGGTCGTTCGTTGATCAGTTGGCGCGACCGACAACTCCCAGTCGGGCTCAAAATCGGCGGTAGGGGTGCTGAAACTCAAGGTGCGCTGGCTTGTGAAATGAGGATGGCTACATTCAGCGGAGAATGGCAGACAAAAATTGTTATCCCTCCAAAGCCACACACCCCTTGCAGCCATGATCATTGCCTGGCAATGCACGGATCACATGTTGAAGCTCTGTGGCAAACTGCCATGGCCCAGGCGCGCAGCCTATTTCACTTTCGACAGCATCTCGGCCTCCGCCAGGTCTCCGATGTCGTTGACCTGCGCCTCCTTCCTTACAGCGCATTGCGCCAGCTCAAAGACTGCTCCCCCCCGACCTCTCCGACCTCTCATGCCAGTTCCAATTTTGCACAACCACATCCCTCCCACGTACACAAGTGTGTCTCCAGTTTAACACCATTTTGCTGGCCCGTCAGAGCCGGTCAGCACCCCTCGCTTGCTACTCAGGATCATGACGCCAGTGCACTTCTTCCGGACGGCGTCCTTGGAAGATGCATAGAGCATTCTTTCCTTGACCGTGGTCTTGTCGTCCGGGCTCCAGAACACGAACACGAGCTTGTTCTGGGGTCTTCCGTCATCTGTCGTGAACTCAAAGTCAACCAGTGCGTATCGGGGACTGCCCTCTGGCAAGGCCTTCACGAAGTCTGCATAAGTCTTCGTGGCGTCCCCAGTCTCATCCACAACAATGGTCTTTTTGTCATCTGACATCTTGAAGGTTACGTAGCGCAGGTCCTTGCGGAGTGCCATGCTGGCAGACACTCTCAGCTCGCCAAACAAATGCGCGCACGATGCGGAACACGTGCGAGTTTTCAGCCCGGGTTGTGCCCCTCCCGTCCTTCTTCATCTTGATGCGCTCGTGAACCTCAACGCACTCATCGGCAACTGTCACACCAGAAGACATGCCCGGCTACTCTGCACTTGGTAAGAAATCAAGTTTGAGCCCAACTCTGATCAATGCATAGTGTCAACAACTGCACTATGGTTCATGTCTTTGGAAAGCAGGTTGTGATTGAGGCACCATAGATGCTTGAGTCAAGTGCAGGGCAACAACATGGGCTGCAGTCAGCCTTCAAAGCCCTTCTTAGTTTCTGTCGCCCTCTCTCTGTTTCTCGCTGTGCTCTCAGCAGGCAGTGCAAACTGTCTGAATGCCCGCTGGTTGATGAGCCCTAAATGGACTGCACCGCTACTCCAAGAAAAATTGTCATGAGCTCCACATTTTTCCCCAAGCGCCGCAGTGGCAGTTTGTGCATGGTAGCCAGTATTCGTCGGCAGGTTCCTTTCATGCGCCAACACTCAGCCTCCAAAAGAAGCTCGAGCAATGTCACCCTTGACTTCAGCAAACATCAGTTCACGTTCAGTACATGTAGTGGACGGGCAATATGATACAGTGCCACTGCTCAGTCTGGTGACCACCCGAAAGCCAGTCAATGAATTGTGCCGTGCTGTGCTAGGTGCTCATGTAGAGATAGGCTTACTCAAACGACATTGCAATAGGATGCATCTAGAAATGAAGCAAGTAAGCAAGCAAACCATTGGTAAATGCATTGCTGTACCCGTCGGAGGTTGTCCGTAGCACACGGCCTTGAGAGCTCTGTCCTAAAGCTCTGTGGCAAACTGCCATGGCCCAGGCGCGCAGCCTATTTCACTTTCGACAGCATCTCGGCCTCCGCCAGGTCTCCGATGTCGTTGACCTGCGCCTCCTTCCTTACAGCGCATTGCGCCAGCTCAAAGACTGCTCCCCCCCGACCTCTCCGACCTCTCATGCCAGTTCCAATTTTGCACAACCACATCCCTCCCACGTACACAAGTGTGTCTCCAGTTTAACACCATTTTGCTGGCCCGTCAGAGCCGGTCAGCACCCCTCGCTTGCTACTCAGGATCATGACGCCAGTGCACTTCTTCCGGACGGCGTCCTTGGAAGATGCATAGAGCATTCTTTCCTTGACCGTGGTCTTGTCGTCCGGGCTCCAGAACACGAACACGAGCTTGTTCTGGGGTCTTCCGTCATCTGTCGTGAACTCAAAGTCAACCAGTGCGTATCGGGGACTGCCCTCTGGCAAGGCCTTCACGAAGTCTGCATAAGTCTTCGTGGCGTCCCCAGTCTCATCCACAACAATGGTCTTTTTGTCATCTGACATCTTGAAGGTTACGTAGCGCAGGTCCTTGCGGAGTGCCATGCTGGCAGACACTCTCAGCTCGCCAAACAAATGCGCGCACGATGCGGAACACGTGCGAGTTTTCAGCCCGGGTTGTGCCCCTCCCGTCCTTCTTCATCTTGATGCGCTCGTGAACCTCAACGCACTCATCGGCAACTGTCACACCAGAAGACATGCCCGGCTACTCTGCACGCACTTGAGGAGCAGAATCAACCAAGCTTGGGCCAAGAATGAGCAGTGGGAAATGTCCATGCTAACAAGAAAGCTACATATGGAGAAGCAAGCGCAAGGAAGAGACCAAGAGATGGAGATTAACTATGTTGATAAAACACTAAACTGGTGTGGAGCTTTTGCTACAAAGGCACGATACAACACGAGAGACGTGGACGGCACATGCAGCATCTTTCCTACAGGCAAGTGGTCGCAATGCGCTCTAGGATTGTTGGTGTTTGTGTGTGTGTGTGTGTGCGCGCTTGTTTTTTTGTGGCTCCCTTTTTCAGCCTAATTCACCGCTGGTACTCTGGCCTTGTTGCATGGCTGAGCGCTGCGCTGTGCCGGTACATCGTACCTGCTGTATGTTTGGCAAAAGCCTAGTCAGTTTCTCTGTGCGCTTGAGTGTTCTCTGTGCATGTTAAGGAAATGATTGGTGTAATTAGCAATCAAAGGTCTCTGAAAATGCTGAACTGCTTTCCCTAGTGGAAGTCTGTGCTGGGTGCAAGTGTTCAGGCCAGCGCACAATAACAATCTATGGGGCAAACTATGCTTCTGCTGTATCACGTCTGTGGCACATGGTCATAATTTAGTTCTGCAGCGTTTGTACATCACGCGTAAACGCTCCAGGCAATGCTACGCAAGGCAGTTCAACATCACTTGCATCTTCTCCAGTCCCCCTGTCTTTTGGATGTCTAACCTGGGTCCAGAGCTGTCATGAGACATGCCAGACATGCCAGACATGCTGGGCATGTCCAGGCTCAATCATAAACGATTGATCCCAGGCCATGGAAGCCAAGGGAGACCAATCCGAGGCAAAGGCTGCAGCTCCCGAGGGGCGAAGCTCCCGAAAACCAAAGCTCTGTGCACTGCATCAGAAAAGTCCAGAGTACAGCTGACTTCGGGAGGTTGCAGCAAAAGGCCGTGTGTCTCTGTGACTGACACCAGACAGACGTGGCAACTCAAGTGCAGTTTTTGGGACAACATAGATCCCATCATAATCTGGACAGTTGTAGCAGTCCTGTCAACCTAAGCATTTATCGAAGGCAATCAGGTAGTTGTTCCGGGCATGATCTTCATGCATGTGCTTCCTTGATGTCAAGTCGTAATGTAGCTACCTGCTGGCTGTATCCAGAGCAACCTTTGCATGTCGGGTGCAGAGACCATCTCGGCAAAGCTGTCGAATTCGGACCAGGCAGGGCGAAGCTCGGGGAGCCCCCTCGGGGCTCAATGAGCAAGGATGCGACTTGTGGCTCCAAGCGAGCGGCCAAAGCCTCTCTGAAAAATCAAACTAGGCGATTCTCGTTTGAGTCGTGTGGATCTCAAAGGCCTGGGCCGGGTTTTGCTCAGCTCCATCCATGCAGTCGTGGTCCAGGTGCCCACGAGAGACACAATGCCCTCCAGATTTGGAAAAGGTCCTACACTTTGACTGGCAGCAAGTTCCTGGTATTCCCGGTGGTCACAAGGTTAGACTGATCACCGAGCGCGTACCCCACTTTGACTGTATCACATTGACTTAGGTGGTAAGGGCGGGCATCCAACAGCATTGGCGGTCACGTCTCGGGGCCAGCTCTAAATCTCTGCGGCGGGCGCGTGAGACGCATAGCCTCAGTGAGCCAACGAATGTCAGCCACCAAGATGTTCAACCGCAACACATTCAGTCAGCCTCTGCTTGGCATCAAACATGGCATACAAATGTCGGGGGGCGTACGTAGGTAGGGCAAATGTCAATATAAACGCCAAGTGGCCCTTGCCCGGATATGTGGTCTTACAAATTGAAGAAGATTGGTAATTTGCCTAAGCACTCCAAGGTCGGAAACAAAAGCCAAGGCCCAATTGAGCAGGAACCGCGGGTAACACGCTAAGCTCCCAGCCGCACGAAAAGGCGCGCGCTTCATTGATCCTGCATAGAAAGACTGATACCATGACCTTTGGAGCTCACACTGAAGCCAACTGGCCAATTCTACTCAACTGGAGTAAACTGATAGCCTTCGCTTTCCGCAGTCATGAAGCCAAGTCCAACTAAAACAACCGATCACGAAAACGTACATGCAAACTGCCTCGTGGAGAACTGGCTGCAGCCTGGCGTTCCCAAAAAAGCATGGAGCTGCTTGTGCAGCGCCTCTCTACAACCATGCTTCAAATACGTGCCCTTTTAGCCCATAGCCAATAGATGCGTCACATCATGAGCTGAGGAAGTCAGTAGAAAAGGCCGCAACAACCTGCCAGGAAGGGATGCTGTTCCGGAATCTCTCTGTGAACAAGCGCGAGAGAGAATCCTCATTTCTTCCAGCCCAACAAGCCCAATAGCTATACATCATTCACTGCAGTACAAAACCCTGCAAACTATCATTGAATGTCTCTACCCAAGGGCTCCTACCATGACGCATCCCTGTCTGAAAGGCCCACAAAGTGCCAATGTGTCTCCGCAGAGCGAAAGACACCAAAAGCGGACCGCCGCCTTCAAAAGTCAACTGGAATGCCCATCGCGCCTGTTGGTGCACGTTCAGTGCCTCCAGGCGTCGCCGTCAAATGCGGAACCGGCCTCCCCAATTGAACCAATAACGTAGAAGAGAGGTCAAAATCCGTCCTCTGGCATTAAGTGAAGCTAGGGGCTCAATTAGGCAACAAATACCATGGCAAGCCCTCAACATCGCCAAACCTTACCAATGTATCCACAAATGTATCCACAAATGCGTGGGTCAAAGTGCCTGCATCATCAAGGCACGGGTCTGTTGAATGATGAAGAGATGATGCTGCTGGCTGCTGCAGCTGATCTCTGCTGCTGACTCTCTCGCGGCTGCCGCAAACCCCGCTGCCGCTGCCGACGAGGACGCGGCTGCTTAGAGCAGCGATTAGCCAAATAATCCAAAGTAGTGCACAAAGCCAGATATTGCCCAATCAAGCTGATGTTGGATTTCCACCCTCAAAAGCACGTGTCTTTGCTGTAGCAATCCCCATCAACGTCCTAGACAAATGGAAAGCAGGTAGCCTCGCGGAACAGAAAAAGTCAACATCAACAAACGTGTCTCACTGTTTGAGGCCCAAAGTTCCTGGTTCCTTCATCAACTGCGACTTGATCAGTCTCCTCCGTTTGAGCCACACTCAAATCAATGGCTTTGCCGCTGACACTCTGAAACGAAATCACAACTCCTTGTGCGTGCCATTTCAAGCTCTCGAGAGTCATCATGTTAAAACGCATGCCGTATCGCAGTCAAGGTCCAATAGATCGGGTTGCCTCCCTGCAATGGCCCGGGCCTGCTTCCTCATTTTGCTGGTAATGCTGACAAGGTTCACGTAGTCCGGAACTGGCAAGCTGCAACAACGATCGTCGAAAAGCAGGTTGCGGTGTTGCGTTCACCGACATATCCTTCTGTCGAATGCTTGATTCTTCAGCCCCCCGAACGCCGCAAGGAGTTCGGAAACTATTTGTTCTGTTTTGCTTTGAGTGGAGAAGAGTGAGGCTTAGAAGAAGGAAATGCATGACGTGACACACTCCTGATTCTGACAATTGGTTCACTTAACATGTGCATTTAACGTTGGAACGCTCCCCCCCTGGAACAGTGGAACCAGTCAGATGGACCCTCTTTAGAGAAAATCCGGGGTTCCGGAGGGACAGTACTTGCTTTAGTATTGCCAATTCTACTTTAGTATTGCCAGGCTGATCTCCGATTCCCAGTACTTACTTTAGTATTGCGATTTCTACTTCAGTGCTGACTCTCCGATTCCCAGTACTTGCTTCATTCAGTATTGCCAATTCTACTTGAGTATCGCCAAGGCTGCCACTTTGGTATTGCCAATTCTACTTTAGTGTTGCCAAGGACCGTTTTTTCAGCAACCCCCAAAAAGGTTAGAGACTAAAGAGGACCCCAAAACAGTCACATTAAAGAGGATCGGGGGCTCTTGTGGGCAACCCCTTTTGCGCGAATAGTTGCCCTTATGTTTTTGTAAAAATGTTATCTTAAATTTGATGGTTTCCTAGATCCAAGGCCCTGACCCTTTGAGCTGGGAAGAGCTTCAGTTACATCAGCTCCCCTACCTCTATCCTTCAGCCCATGTTGAAAATAGTTTTTTGCGATTCCCAGTACACTCAGCACTGAGCACATATGAGCAAGCACACAATTGGGTTAGCATAACATCATGCACCATCACGCCACATCATGCAGCGATGCAGGCAATACACCACGCTGAGCAAGCCTACAACACAAACAAAAACCAGTGCTGGAGGTTGGTCTGGTGTTTACGTGAATTGATGGACACCGCATGGCCACATTTACTGATTTGCCCCATTGCCACCTCTCGCCAGGCACGGTCGAGTGCGCACCTTGCAGCACAGTACAGTGTCTCAATTTGGCGCCCGCACCCTTGTGGAGTGCTGTGCGACACTAGTTTGTCGGAGTACCAGACTGGTTTGCAGGTATCACTTCAACAATGGCCACAGACCCAGCTTAAGTTAAATAATGTGTCCGCATAGGTTTGTCTCAAGCTAAGGACCTCAAAATGATGATTTGTCACGGTTTTCCCTTCGCAAAAAGCTGCCCTCAAAACATTGACACACCCAAATTTAAATGCATGTGTATATCTGCCCTTGTTAGATGGGTTAAAAAGCTGGATGAAGGCGGTTGCTTTGGTGATTTCCGGGCGGTTTAGGGTTCAGTGTGAGGTTAGTTGGCTTTGCCCTGGGTCCTGGGTGTTGGGGTGCTGTGCGGGTGAGGGGCTCAGGATTTGGGTGGGCAGGGCTTTGGGAACTGTAGAAGGGTTCCCCACAACGCAGGCCTGTGGCCCGTGGAAGGTCAGAAGGGAGTGAGTCCGGTAACAGGGTGGGGAGAGCTCAGCGAACTGGGGACGTACTGAACGTCGTCCGTGCTGTCACGAAGCTGGCGTTGCTGTGCTGGTCTTCAGCTTGTAGTCCAGGCTCTGCATCCGGCGGTGACTCCATGCTTCTTTACATGTACCACGACACGCAGGGCTGCCGGAAGTGCTGCTGCCGGAACGCAGCGTGTTCATGCCGTTGGCGG